TAGTAAAGTTTTCTTTAAATTTTAAAGAAATTCTAAAGATTTTTTTTATGACTTAAAGTCAAGATCCTTTTTACCTGAAACACAGATTAGTCCTAGGTCAAACAATGTATTTTTACCACTTGTTTTTTTAGATCTAAGTCAGTTATTTATAAAAAAATATATTGAATAAATATTTAATTATTATTATTTGTTTCGACCGTGACGATTCACGCGTATCGATTATTATAACTATATCTGTTAACCCCATAAGCCAGGAAGTACTTATCTGAGCTTTAGCTAAATAATAAATTTGACTTATCAGCTGTTGTTTCTACTATTATTGTTCTTTATCACTTTAGACAATTTTTTTCCTAATAAACATGTTTTTTATTCATACAAAATCGAGTTCGCACACCAATTCACACCAAATCGCACAAAATCGATTTCTGTACCTTATTTGTTATATTGCATGTATTACATAATACAATTGAAACCAGTGAAAAAGCTGACAAAAAAGATTGAACTCGCACCCTTCGCTATCCAGGTGAATGCACTGACCATTATGCTAGCGCGGTCCTGACGGCCGTGTCAATTTTTTCCTAGCCTTAGGCTGTAAGGCATGCATCGCCATCTCTTCGCATTGTAGGTAACCCACAATGTCAAATGTATGGAACCAAGAAGTGCCGTCCTTACCAACCCTTTAGGCGTTAATTTGACGCTCATGCAATCGTCAGTCAATTATATCAATCATGAATGATAAAAAACTGATAGCGACTAAAAAGTCATCAGCCACAAATTCAAGTCGTAGTTTCATATACGGTGTACACAATAAGCCACGGTTGCCATTTAAAAGATGGTCGCAAGTAGGGTTTGCCGTGCTTTAAAGTGAGCTTGTGAACCTCGAGCCCATCACTTAAAGCCATATATAAACCATCTACAATGAATGTGACCATGATATTGTAACAGCATTAGGCTGAGGCATGGGCCTGATTGGCCTTTCTTCTCTCTGCATATTGTTGTTCTCTGTTTGTTTTTTATTTTTATCGTTACATTATTTATTCATCATCAGCCTATTAATGTCCCCACTGCTGGGGCACAGGCCTTCCCTATGGATGGAATAGGGAGATTGGGCCATGACCCGCCACGCGGGCCCAGTGCGGATTGGCGGGTGTTAATTATGCATTATTTCCTATTGTTACCTAATTGTGTTTTTAGGCCATTAAATGATTTTTCTTTCTTTTTTTCTATATTTTTCCTTAGTTTTGCTGGTATTTTATATGTATCATATCCTGTGCGTAATGATTGAATAAAATTAGTGGGCCCATGTCCGAGAACGCAAATCTCAATAAAGCAGCCATTTGTTTTTCTTAAATGAAACTTTGGTGAGTATACAATACATTAGTGACGGGTTGCCCAAAAAACTAGCCACAAATACCTTTAATTTAATTTAGTGACGACCGACTTCCAACGTTCAACTGATCATTTTTAAAGGAGATTGCTCAGCTTCCATACATGTTTGGCCTAAAGACCAATAATCATGAAAAATTGTTTCCTAGATTCGAAATTATATATAAATTACTGTAGAAACGAATATTATTGACGGACACCCCTGAGAACTTCTATAAACCATATACACTGAACATATTAAAATAATAAAAAACAAATTAGTTATATAGTAAACTAAGGAAATTAAGCCAAATACCGAAATTATGGATTAGATTCAAGTATATAGAGCATGTAGATTAACAGATAGTTGCCTGTTTTTTGAAGTTAATGCATAAGAGTAACTTTTAAAATCAGGTGTCATCTATGCATTTCCGGTTATAATAAGGTACCCTGTGACAGAAACTGTGTGATGATTGTGAATGAGCCACAGATTAGAGAGAATTTTTAAACTCTCGTTAACCAAAGAAAGCTAAGAGATTTAGGTTAAATAGCCATATATTCAGTAGCTTCATTATTTTTGTTATGTTTTTAATATAAGCATATTTTACATTTTTAGTGTATCACATCTTATAATTTTATTAATTTATTCATTTATAGTCAGGCAACGTAGGCCCATAAATAGATACCTTAAAGTCTAACATAAATACAGATTATAATGTGTTTATGGAGGTGTTTGGCGAAAAATGTATGGCAATAGACTTACATGCAAATGTGCAGACAATAATAATTGTCTGAGCACATTTGCATGTAGTGAAAATGATAATATAGTTGTGGATATTAATACCACAGTGTAATAAAAAAAATATATTATCGATCTTTACAAAATAGATTTGTTTTTATGTTATTTAAACAACTTCGGTCAGTCTTTGGCTGAATGTTACTACACCCATAGCCATTAAAAATGATTCGTATGTTTTCCAAACCGGTAAAATTAAAAGTCCTTTTTAAAGTAAATATATTATACAACGGTGTCCGTTGAAATCTAATGATTGTAAATTAAATTATAAATGACGCCAAGAATTACCGTGTATATCAATATTTTTTGTGCATTTAGGCCAATTTGAGCAATCTCCTTTAATCATAATAGAATTAATTAATAATTATTAGGTAATTTAAGAATTAGGGACATTAAAAGTACCGGTGATAAGCTATCATTTTCATGCTCTAGTAACAATCGTGCAAACATAGAAATTTTAACATATACACAATATTAGTAGGGAAGCGGAACAAGTTATAACACGTGCATGCAGGTGCACGTAAGACATTACTCGAACTCGTGCATCCCTAAGCAATATTATACACTAGTATACGGGCTGGAAGACAACAAAAGGAAATCCGAATACAGGCGTACTTGATTCCGTTCATTTTCACTTAGTAGTTTACAAAAATTCCATTGGCACTATATTATGTGGCACTGTATTCGAGCTAACGACCAATATGATCCCGCCATAAGGCTGCATTTAATGAGCGGAGTTACCAAAGCAATCAGAGGCTCAAGCACGAATTCTGACAGCTCCGTAATTATCGTCATCGTATCGTCATCGTCAAATTGTGTATGGAAAAAGCTAGTTTGTTCTTACGTCCGATAGAGGTGCTGCTTAGTTTTCATATAAACTTTGACGATGCGATGCGAATAAGGAGCTGTCAAATAATGTGCTCGGGCCTTCTATTGCCCAGTTAGCACTGTTCATTAAAAGCAGCCTCAACATGTTCCGCTTCCCTACTAAAATTTTCAATGGGTGATAATTTCTATGTTTGGATGGTTGTTACTCGAGCATGAAGAATGATAGATAGCTTATCAACAGTAGTCGGTAATAAAACGATTAGGTGACAACAATAGCCACAAGAATTCATTTTTGATAGCAAACCTACTGAAATTGGGTTAGAAATATAATTATCGAATCGGGTAATAAAAGCTAAAGCAAACGTCACGACCGGCCGACCAGCGACAAGTAGAATTAGCTGGCTAAATTAGCTGTAGCCGATCTTATCTTATCCGACTCTACGAAATATATTGCGACCTGGCCCCCTAGCATGACCACCGCGGTATGATATACAGCTCGATTTTATCATGCTCAGTTGTCAAATTACGATAGAGTTTATAAAAATGTGATATAATGTATATTGTAGTAGTCATGTCTGATGATAAGAGCATGATCATCATCGTCATTAGCCTATTATTGTTGGGCACAGGCCATCCCTATCGATGGAAAAGGGAGATTGGACGATGAGTCACCAAGCAGGCTCAGTGTGGATTAGTGGGTGTCAACGACTGCAGATGCAGCCGGGAGGTGTCTTTCGAAGCAGAGAGTAGCTCGAGTTAGTAAATTTTTAGTCACACCGACGAAAATAGTACACCTGAAAAGGTAGGATGAAGTGGTACTGTACCACTTAAGCATCAAGGCCTGTATTTATATGTTACCTGAATCCATACAAAATAAAGATTATTATTTTTATTATTTCTATCCCTTATCCTAGTATCCCATATCACAAGCCTAAAATGTGCTGAGTTTGGGGCTACTTACAAAAATACTCCTACTATAATACTATAAATATGCATATATTTTGTTTGTTTGTATTACAGAAAAATGTTTAAATAGATTTGGATATTTTTTATAATATGTCAGCTAAGCCACTAAATGACTAAAAAATATTATTCCAAGCTCCTACACGTTAATACATCTGCTATCGTGAGGTTGAATATTTTGATAAATGACCTTGATCCATTCTTTGCAAAAACGCTTTTAATCCTTGGAATACTCTTCCTACATTGTGGAAATACGGTATATTTAACATGCTTGCTACAATAAGGTAACCAGAAAACTGAAGAACTCAAAATAGGGGATGTTGTAATCTTAGAAACCACAGAAAAGAGTATGATATGGCCACTCGGGCTAGTTATTGAAGTATGTAATGGTAGTATAGATGGACATCAAAGACTAGCAAAATTGAAAACTGGCTTAGGTGTCAAGGTTAGGCCTGTACAAAACCTTTATAAATTAGTGGTGTCGTCCGAAGCCTGTTCTAGCAATAAAATTCAACGGAAAACTAGTAGTGGTCGGATAGTCAAGATGCCAAGCCGTCTTGGCATATATTAGATGCCCTTTTTTGTTAGCCATCTACTCCCAACTTAAAATTTTGGGTGTGGAGAATGTTGAAAACTCCTTTGTTCATAATAGGTTATGGTGATCTTTTTAGTTTTTATTATTTTTATGTCAGTTGTCAAAGATTTTTCTATATTTTCAATTAATAAAAATAATATCTCAGCGTAAAACATGTTCGTGAGTTTCTGTTAATTAGTATCTCTCCACATACATCGAAGAGACGTGCACAATCAGTAAAATTGTTAGCAATAACTTAATCCTATATCTTCTATATTACAAAGATTTCAAAAGTTACTTATTCTTTTCATTATAGAATAGAATAGAATTTAATAGAATGAACTAGAATGGAAAAGAATGGAATAAAATAGGATAGAATGGATTGGAACGGAGTAGAATAGAATAGAACAGAACAAAATAGGATAGGTTAGGATAGGATACGAAAGAAAAGGAAAGTATATGATAGAATAGGAAGGGATAGGGCAGGATAAAATAGAAAAATATTAATTTGGTAAGTATGTAGGCCCATAAAAATAATAAAACTATCAGATACAATAAGAAATACAAACAGAAAGCAATTAAAAACTTAAATCCTACTGTACCAAAATGTCTTTCGCTTAGCATAATGCGGCAGCAAGCTGCTGCGACGCGTATTCTGCGAACGCCGCCAGTTTAGGAGCGCAGTTCCAAACAAACAAATTCAATATAGATGGCATAAAATAATAATACAACATAAAACATAAAAACCTATTTTTATTGAAAAAAAATTAAACCGCCGAATAAACTGAAAGTCAGAAAAAAATAAACCCTTTTTATGTTTAATCAAATTAATATTTAGAGTCGGTGCCATGCATGTCTGATAGATTTGAATTCCCATTTACTACTTGGGTTGACATGGCACCAAAGACATATAAGGAAGACAAATATAAGAATGGAAGTTATAAAGAAAACGTGGTGGTCAACAGTAGACATTATCAATAATCTCAAGGAACTATAGAAATGCGAACCTGTCCATTCCAAAGTGAAATATCTTTGAAATAAGAATAAAATAAAATGATAAACAGGAACAGTCTTAGCTGGCCTAATAACACAGACTGAATCAGAATTTGAATCCATATTATGAAATTCTTAATCTGAATTCTAATGTTTTGACCATGTTTTCACTCACACAAGATGTATAAATTACGTTTGATCTATGGTTTGATCAGTTGTATCGCGAACGTCTCTAAAAAATAATTATATTGTAAAGTGTCAATCACACATTAGAGAGATAAATGAGCTGCCAAATTCATAATCTGATTTCGTTTGTGTTAGGGCGTCGTACAAAATGTATAACCAAGGAAGGATTTAAGGCAGGGCTGGATGGAGGGTTGCGGTTCAGGGAAATGAAAAGAAATAACAGTGAAAAAAAAACTAAATTTTGTTGGGTCTCCATACTCCCTCCCTGTTTTGGTTGGAGTAGAGTGGGAGAAATCTTAAATCGACCGGGATTTCGAATTTGAAAATAGGGCTCCTCACCTTCCTTGCCACAATGACTCCACGGTTTCACACCTTTAAATTCGGCCCTATTTATGACAAGACTGTGTTTGGATTTAATTATCAAAATTTTTATATTCTGTATTCATGACGCTTGCCAATTTCATTCCAGAAGATCCATCTAGCTCATTCATAATCTTAATAATCATGAATGCAAAAATAGAAAAAAATAATCATGTGAGGATAGTAGTTCAATTGTATGCACTTCAATGCGCTCTGAATAAATTGTATGAATTCAATTTATGAATCCAGATTCTGGTTCAGATTGTGTAAAGGTTAGCCTTAGTTTAAGTCCTTAGATAAAAAATGTTTCCTTAGGTAATCTTGTAGATAAAGTCATTGACGACAATTAATATTATTTTATTACACCTCTGATATTGGAGGATTTATGTAATAAACAATAAAGATAATAGATGGGTTTAAGACTATAAATTGTAAAAAATATGGGCCAAACTGGTAATTACAATACTTGAAGATGGCAGTCTGGCAGTTTCTCGGAGTCCTCCTCGTTACGGGTATAGAAGAAATTTATTTAATTTTAATATTGTATTACATTTACATAAATCGCTGTAGAAACTATTTTATGCTATGGAGGATGAGTGATCACATATTTAAATATATTTATAATATGCTTGATATTCAATATTCCAATAATCAGCTAAAAGTAAAAAAAGTATAAAAGTTACTTAACTTACACAATCAAAAACTGAGTGCGCTAAGCACTACGAAATCATGCTCCTCATTTGTGATATAGCCTCATTACTATTAAATTATTTATGCCTTTCAGCCGCCGTCCAGGCATCTAAGTCGAGCCGCATTATTGGCGGTTCGGTCGCCAGTATCGACAGCTATCCGTCCATTGTCCAGGTGGAGTTCAACAATGCTGGTTTCTTCTGGAATCAGCAATGTGCTGGCAGCGTTCTGAACAACTTGTACATCCTTTCTGCTGCACATTGCTTCGCTGGCCCGTGAGTATTTATTTGACATTTAGCAATCTAACATGAAGTTTAACGTTAATTTTTTTTTAACTTCTTAATTCACCTTCATCACCAGCCTATTAATGCCCCCACAGCCCGAGCCAAGCTGCTAGAGGAGAAATGAGCCATGACCCACCACGCGGGCCCAATGTGGATTGTAAAAAAATAACAATATGCCATGTTAAATGTACAACCATGAGTTTATGGCCTCCCTACAATGCATCTAAAGTTAAAAGCAGATGAGTCCAATTGCTAAAACAAGTGATTGTGCAGAGCAGATAAACGAGTATATACGTCAAAGTTATCTTACTTTTCTAGCTCGAACCTGAACACAACTCTACTTGACCGATTTTCAATCTTACTTGATTTCAATTATCTCCGATATCGCATTTCAGGAACTACGCACCCGCTAACCGTCGTATCCGCGCTGGAACCTCGACCCGTAACGAGGGTGGTCTGACCGCATTAGTCCAGAGGGAGATCAACCATCCGTCGTACGGTGAAAACGAGAACGATGGTGACATCACGGTCGTCCGCCTAGCAGAGCCTCTTCTTTTGAGCGCCACCATACAGCAGTCACCTCTTATGGCCCCAGGATTCGTTCTTCCCGCTGGCTTCTCCGTTACTTACGCTGGCTGGGGAAAGACTACAGTAAGTTTCACCAGTTATTTAGTTAAATCGTAAAGCAAATTGGCAATTAGTTTAACAATTCGAGATGTAGGTACAATTAGTAATTGTACATCTGTCATGTATGCACTTAAGATGATTACGGGAGAGTTCCACATAACCCATTGCCAGCCGACCTATTCAACGACGTGGTTTTCACGTGTTTCATTTAGAGCCAATTTTTTCGTTACTGAGAATATGTGGTTAATCAATAGTGTATGCTCTCCTGTTTACGTTAAGCGCTGTCTGTCTTCACAGACCGCATTTTGGTTCGCGTCAAATCGACAGAAGCCGTAAAACATGCAATGCTACTCAAATATTTAGTGTCAAAAGGAGATTACTCAAATTGGCCTAAATACACAAAAAATATTGACATACACGGTAATTCTTGGCGTACTTTATAATTTGATTTACAGTCATTAGATTTCAACGGACACCTTTGTATAATATATTTACTTTAAAAAGGACTTTTAATTTTACCGGTTTGGAAAACATACGAATCATTTTTAATGGCTATGGGTGAAGTAACATTCAGCCAAAGACTGATCGAAGTTGTTTATATAACATAAAAACAAATCTGTCTTGTAAAGATCGATAAAATAAATCATTTTTTTAATACACTGTGGCAATATCCACAACTATATTATCATTTTCACTAGATGCAAATGTGCTCAGACAATTATTATAGATGGTAGGCGACATCATAAAGTCTAATGCCATACATTTTTCGCCAAACACCTCCATAAACACATTATAATCTGTATATATGTTAGACTTTAAGGTATCTATCTGTGGGCCTACTTTCCCTGACTATAAATTAATAAATAAATAAAATTATTAATTAATCTTAAAAACATAACAAAAATAATGAAGCTACTGAATATATGGCTATAGAACCTAAATCTCTTAGCTTTTTTTGGTTAACGAGAGTTTAAAAATTCTCTCTAATCTGTGGCTCATTCACAATCATCACACAGTTTCAGTCACAGAGTACTTTATTATAACCGGAAATGACACCTGATTTGAAAAGTTACTCTTATGCATTAACTTTAAAAACAGGCAACTATCTGTTAATGTACTTGCTCTATATACCTGAATCTAATCCATGATTTCGGTACTTGGCTTGATTTCCCTAGTTTACTATATAACTTATTTGTTTTTTATTATTTTAATATGTTCAGTGTATATGGTTTATAGAAGTTCTCAGGGGTGTCCGTCAATAATATTCGTTTCTACAGTAATTTATATATAATTTCGAATCTAGGAAACAATTTTTCATGATTATTGGTCTTTAGGCAAAACATGTATGGAAGCTGAGCAATCTCCTTTGGCAATTCTTATTTTCAAGAATACAAACTTTATATCATTATCAATTTTTTCTCCACTACTGGATGTTCGGCTCAGCGGATTTCTTTCTGTCCCGTGCCAAGCGAAAAAGTATTTGTTATAAATCCCATTTTCTCTATTTCAGCTCGAGTCCCCCGACTTCTCCGATGACCTCGTAGCCGTTGATACCATTGTGGTAGATCGTGAGTTGTGTCGTCTCCGCTACGCTGCCTTGGACTCCAGTCCTCCTGTAACAGAGAACATGATGTGCGCTGGCAACTTCGGTGCTGGTGGCCAGGACGCTTGCAACGGCGATGGTGGTGGCCCTCTGTACTTCAACAATATCCTCACTGGTGTGATCTCATGGGGTAATGGCTGCGGCCAGGCCAACTACCCTGGCGTCAGCACTCAGGTCTCATCTTACACCTCCTGGATCATAGAAACTGCCGTCTAAATCTATCTAGACTCATATTGAAAAATAAAGTCTTTTGGCTATCTTAAAATATTTAGTTAAATAAAATTTAATAATATTTTTTTATGTCTTACATATTCATTATTGAGCATCCATAAAACAACATAAAATAACTAAGGGTTCCCTCTATCTGGCAGAATTCTTTTGCTCCGAAATTCGTACGACGTGACACCCTTTTTCATTCCATGCTTAGAACAGACGAATGTCAAGTTTACAAATAATAAAAGCCAAAAAAGTGCTGGCATCCAATATAATCATTGTTTGTCCGAAAGTTTATATGTCCGTATTCACAATGGCATACTTTAAGATGGCAGAATTTTATTAACATAATTTCGTTCAGTATAATCGGTGTTTGTGCTTAGTGGGTTAGGTTAGGTTAGTTTTGCGCGCAAAACTAAGCGCTAGCCGAGCGAGCGAAGCGTGCGTACCCCGCAGCTATCTAATATAATAGATGAATAAACAATTAAACCTGAAATATTTGTATGCTTAAAGACGATTCCGCTTGTGAGCCTTCTGCGATATGAAGGTCCTGCTTTTTTATTATTGTGGATGTTAAAATGTCTAAAGGTAATTCTGGTTTACAAAAGTTAAAAAAACAAAACAAAGCATTAAAAAATGGTGTTATGTGAACATGGATAAATCAATATCTTGGATTATATTATTTACATCAGCGCAGGCCTTCTCTATGGACGGAATATGGAGAAACCACATTGGCCTGATTTATGCACTGAGCTCAGAAGATCGAGATACTAAAATTTTGGTCACCCATCCTATGACCGACACTGCGAAAGTTGCTTTACTTCTACAATTGCAAACTGAGCGCGTGCCTTCCAGCTCAACTGATTTACACCTTTTTTCTATAACTTATAAAGATTTACTAAAATATGAAAAAGGATAGGTAATATATTTAGGCCCATCATCATCAGCCTATTAATGTCCCCACTGCTAGGGTACTGGCCTTCCCTATGGATGAAATAGGGAGATTTGGCTATGACCCACCACGCGGGCCCAGTGCGGATTGGCGGGTGCTAACTGCAGATGCAGCCGGGCCCAACGGCTTATCGTGCCCCCTGCGCCATCGACCTCCTCATATTTAGGCCCACTTGCACCAATTTAAAGCTATTACCAAGGTAGTTATATACCTACCTGTAAGCGCTAGGTATATAACTTCCTTGGCTGATAATATCTTATTCTATTTCTATTTTACTGACCACAATTATAAAAGATGAAATGATATGTCAAACCAGATTAAGCTTTAATTTGATTTAAGAATGTCCTGCTAGTGGCCCTAAGAAAATATTTTGCCATTTGTATTTTTTTAATTAAGTACTTATATAATTAAAAATACAAAAAAATGCAGTTCAATTTAAACTTATACAAACGCAGCAATAATGGGTGGCATAAAGGAAGCATTGTTAACAATAAAAATTATCATTATTTATTTTAGAACATACACCAAATCGTGTAAGTAATGTATCAATAAAAAAGTAAAGATAAGAAATTAGTTTTTTGTACAAGGACTACTAGTTAAAATGATTAAGAATGTACCTACCTACTTAGAGCTACAAACGTGCCTATATCATCTTTTATATCATTAACTTGGATTAAGAGATTGATGTGGTTTATAAGTAACGAGTGAATAGTCGATATTACATAATTTTTGTTTAAATTATTTAACAGCTGCACTCTAATTTGTGGCCGAGTGGAATCGGTTTCGAGTAAAACGTAATAACTTTTTAATCTTGGGCTTGATAGTATCCTCTTGAATTAGCCAACGGACTCATAAATGTACAGACAGAACTTAAAACGCCCTATGACACTGTTTCGGTTGACAATGAGGCAGAGCGAAACGCTATACCAGGGACAGGTACGTACCTGGGCGTTTTTCCCCGCCCCCCACGACAACGGCTAACTAGAGCAGAGGTCCGAGTCTCAGAGACACCCTCTAGTTGAGCCGATCCCCTCAGGTTCGAGTGGTCTAGAGGCTCCAGACGGAGAGGACTAGACTAGACTCCCCCCGTGGCGAGATGCCATCCGCCCGGAACACCTCTAGATACACTCGCCAATTCTCGGCTTGAGGTCCCCTTAGGATCTCGCCGTCTCCAAACCCGGTGACGCTGTAAAGGTCATCTGCGACCAACAGCAAACACACAATAAAAATTAGACCGAGAGTTAGTCGAGTGGAGTACCTATACGTGTAGTAATATTTAAATCACTGCTAGTCCTTAAGGATAGAACAAAGTGACTCTTTGCGTATCTATACTATTATTTATAGAAATAAAAGGATACACTGACAGACTGACTTATTGACGCATAGCCAAAACGGCTGGCCTAGAATGATGAAATTTGGATAGTAGGTTTCTTTGCCTAGACAAATAATAAGATGGGATTTTTTTGAATCCAATTCAACGAGTCCAAGAGGAAGTTTTACTTCAAAAATAGTAAAAAAATTAACTTTTTTCGAATTAATCATGCACTAGTAGTCATTTTACATAATTATCTTTTTCGGCCACGAACATTTGAATAGCCACAGTAGGAAGGACACAATTTTTTTTATTAGCCAGTAAATTTAATAAAGAAGTCATTTTTGTATTATTTTTATGTAATCAGTATAGTGGTAGTAGGTAAGTCAATATAAAGTTAATTTTAATTTATCGCCATCTGAAATGTTTTCGAGAAAATGTATTCACCGAGGGCTTGCGTTTCACTAAAAGGAAGCTTTTGGACTTGTAAGTTCTTGTAACTGTTAAAAGATGGCGCTATGTGAATAATATGCTCTCACAATACTTACTAAATTATATTAGTAATACTATTTGATTCTTGCCAATTTCATTATTTCTTGTAAGCCTGAAATAATAATAGCCGTTAATTTAAGTCGCAAACGCAAACTATTATTCAAAACACAACCATAATGGAATTGAACGAACAAAATGGGCTGTTTCAAGACTAGCCTGAAAGAAGAGGATTTTCTATGAAAGTTATGTATCCTAGAAAACCTTTTGGAATCATTAAAATAAAAAACATATATAAGCCCACTTGACTTGGTCCAGTGTCAGCTATTGTTTTGCTGGTTCTGTATTTCACGAAGAAAGTGGGCTGATTCGAGGCCAGCCCGATAGAAGGGGATTTTTTCTAGGACGTTAAGTTAAAGTTATGGGCTAGCTGGAATAACCGGCCGCTATGGCTCACGCACAATGGTCTACTTAAGGCAGTAGGTGTGGAAACCTAAACCCTTAACATAGAACAAAGACATGTTAGCAAACCAATTGAAATTATTGAACCCAATCCCTTACCCCGCGGAGCTTTTTTTTTGGCGGCGCCTTTAAGAGGCACACCGCCGAACGGACCTCATACCTGGCTCCCGCAAACCTTACGAGCCCCCACAGTGACTGCCCACTGAGGACCCCGTAACTTTTACGGGCGCTTTACGGCATAATATCCGTTAAAAACCCTGCGAATACCCTCTAAGCTGCTTCTGCTGATTCTTCCGCGTCTCCGCACCCAGCAGCCTCCCGGCCTAGCCGGGGCTCCACGGCAGGGGTCTCCCGAGGTATTGCGTTACCCCGCGGAGCCCTGGAACCCTACTCACCAGCAGAAACAGAACGCCACCAAAAGGTAGTGTTATTTTACTGTGGTCTCCTGTAAGTTGGAGGTTGCCTCCCCAGATGGGCGTTCCATTACGAGTGGAAATATCGCGGTGCCTTACTTCTTGTGGGTCGATTGCCAGTTTGAATCAATGTAGGTATATATAGAGGACCTCGATGGCGCAGGTTGTTAGCGCGTTCGGCTGCGATCGTCGAAGTTAAGCAACGGTCACGGCTGCATCTGCAGTCGTTAGCACCCGCCAATCCGCACTGGGCCCGCGTGGTGGTTCATAGCCCAATCTTCCTATTCCATCCATAGGGAAGGCCTGTGCCCCAGCAGTGGCGACATTAATAGGCTGATGATGATGACGAGGTACATATATTGACATATTATTAAGTGGTTCTTTCTGTTTACAGTGACACAAATACTTCATCTCATTTTACCTGTCACTATTGTTTACGTACAATACCTATGTTATACTCGTCGAACGCTAAATGTGGCGTCAATAAATCTTAACTAATATTATAAATGCGAAAGTGAGTTTGTTTGTAACGCTTTCGCGCGTAAGCCACTGGATTGATCATAATTTTTGCTATGCTAATAGATGGTACCTTGAAGACGGTTATAAGCTACTTTTTTCCACAAATTATCAGGGGGAGGAAAGAGTAACTATGGTGGTAAACTTTTTATTTCGCCAGTAATAATAAGTAATAAGTAAATCAGAACTTCAAAATTTGCTGAATCTTTGTTCATAAATTATTAGCTATTAAAGTATGAATATTCGATTACTTTTTCAAACTCTTTGAAATAGGGGATGAAAAAAATGAAAAAAAAAAATAGTAAATGGAGTTGTAAATGGAGCTAAGCAAACTTTTTAAAACGCTGAATGGTTTTGTTTTGTCCGACATGAATATGCATATTTGCGTTTAGTACGATAACGATTGCATAGATGGCGCTAAGCGTTTTTGATATGTTTACCGGTCATATGGACTCACAGAAAACAACAAAATTAATTCTATTATGGAGAAATGAAATTATTAACCAAATCAACATGGATATTTATATTAAAATGGAAAAGGTGCAGGGTGAACATTTACAATCAAGGACACAGAACAAAGAAGTTCATATCCCGCTGTGTTTTTAAATTTTGCTTGGACTTTGTGTTTTTAAACTCCAATCAAAATTAAGTTAACCAGTTGTTCTTACGTAAAATATATGTTATTTAACCAGCAATGAGAAGAACGTACATCATCATACGACATCTTAAACTAATGCCCTATTTAGTATCCATGATTAGAAAGGAGACGATCTTCAGTTCGCGGCGAGGCAGAACATCACATAAGGTGTTATAAATTGCCATATGAAAATATAAAAAAAAAAAAACTTTTAAATGGGAGAAACAAAATTTGTTTTTCAAATATTATGGATAGGTCAAAATTAAATGTACGGTGTTTTTTTTCTTTTTGCAATTATTTGACGTCCTCCAGTCGGCAGATCCAATTGATCGTCAAATAGAATTGATTTTCAAAATCAACATTAACACAACACAACCAAAGCCGCGGGCAAAGCTAGTTGTAAATAAAGTAGTGATATTTCGGTGGCCTATAAGGTGGAAGCTGCTTTCCCGTCTGGGGACCCCATTCCAAGCGGGAAAGTTACGCCTTTGTACCTCCTGGTTGTTAACCTGATATTGAGTTATGGTGGAGTCCAGGCGCGAAGATAGCTAGTACAACAGTTCTACCTGCCACACCAGCCATCCTCACCCTGCCGGCCTGCATGCTGCACACACACACGCACACACACGCACGCACGCACGCACGCACGCACGCACGCACGCACAATCAAAACATAAAAAACAAAATTAGAAAATGTCATTTTTAATTATGCGTTTTGTTATGAATTTGATTATTATTTATTAATCATTAGAAAAAGCTCATACATTATTTAAAATAATTTTAATTAGCCACCAAAAAGTTTTAATTAAAAAGGTACGTTGTTTTATTAAAACAATTATAATCACCATGCGCATAAGTAAATATAATATTTGCCATTGAACTTATCGATAAGCCTAACTTTTTACAGGCATTAACTTTCACCAATATCGACTTTTATCGCCACACAAAACTTTGCTTCTGAAGTGTAGTAGTCAAGCAGCATTTCTTAAGGCACTTGCCCCACCGCTGACGACGAACGAGAAACAAGTTGGCAAGCAGCGAGAAGCGACTTTTTAGTTCCGATAATTTAATCGCTGGACTTTGTGCGAGTGTGCTACTCGCCTCTGACTCGCGGAGACAATCCTGAGCAAAAATGCACGCGCGGTGTTTCGAGACAAGCGAGCATCGCGGAGAGCGTATCGCTGAGCGAATATTTGTCTTTGATAGCTCTTGTTATTTAGCGACAAACTAGTGGAGAGAGTTCTCGCCGGCATCGGCAGTGTGAACAGTCAGCAATCAACTTATATTACGCATCCCTTTTCTTCACACTGAATTCATATCTAATGTACTTTTCTTGAGTGAGAAAAAGCCGATACGTAGTCGCTTCCTGCGGCCGTCTTCTACTTTTAAGGAATATGTAATATGAATATGTAGAAAAAATATGTGTGCTGAACAGAGGAAGCAAACGAAATTTTCCCGAGAGATTCCCAAAAGGATTTAATGCCCTCTTTTATACTCTTTTATTTTTCGTTTACTCAGCTTGGCTTACCGCTTTTTTTTAATGGAATCAATTATATCCTTGTTCGTTGTGGAGTCCAGGCTTTACAGCCACATGCCGGCCCAAAGTCTAGACCATAAGCCGGCTAGGCTTTCCCGGGCTGCGATCAATAAATCCCGCCTATCCCGGTTCCCGCCACGCATGCGTCCGCCATCTTGGCGAACCACAGACACACAAGTTCTATGGACTATCAAAAACAAAAGACTGCTCTAAAAATTACCTGTTAGTGAGGATTTATATTAATTTATTTAGTGAAAAATGAGTCCGGAAAGGGAGGCTGACGGTATGTACCAATTCGTAATAATTAAACTTTTAACGTTCAATGTGAATGAATAGAAGTAACAGTGTGATTTCGAATACTGTATTAAAATTTGACAATAAGTCTTTTTGCCGACTTTGAGGATAAGATTATTTCTGTAATATTATTTGTAGTGAGTGACATTGTAACAATCAGGAAGGACTCCAATAAAAAAGGAAATAACCAAACTGTAATTAGCAGTAAATCTTTTGTTTGTGCACATATATGAATGTAATGTTTGCAAATATGTCTATAAATGTTTATAAATCTTGAATACTGTGTTACCTAAACAGCTTATAAAGGCGAAAACTATTGCGAAGTAAAACTTTACCTATTGCTTTCAATGAAATTGCCAAATATGCTAAATCATTCGACAGTATTATACCATACGAATTCTTAGTGGTTTATTAACTTTTGTCTCAAAATAATAATATTCTTATTATTATTTCTAATAATACCTATGCTAATAAGACGACCTCCGTTTCGCGAGTAGTATAGGGTTGTTCAACAAGAACTTTGTTTTTGAATTGTGGCTACACCAACAATATGATATTTTT